ATATTCATTAAATTCTTCATTTGGATGTCATGTAAAACACAAATTCATATAAAAACAGAAATCACAGGTAGCTACGAAGGTGACAGAAATAAACACACTAGCACCTTTACAATAAGAATTCAATACATTGGCTCAGATTTGGAAAACATTTCCATAAACTAGAGAACATGTGGCAGACATTTTATGGATTATTTTTTAAATGTTTTAAAAATACCCTGATCTTACTCAGGGAATAAGGGGCCTTTTCGTTTGCCAAAAAGCGTAATAGCAAAACAGAAAGGCCACCTGTGTCAGCCCACCCTATAGCATGAATATGAGCTACAAGGGCATTTTAGAAAATATTTTCAAACTGAGATGGGGAAAAATCACTATCAATACAGACTCTAAACCGATGCAGAAGACTTCTGTGATGTTAGTGGTTCTGTGTGTGGCCTCCCCAGCCAAGCTAAGGCCCCATGCCTCCCCACTCAGTACACTTTCTCTTTTACAAGCTACTTGTAATTAAAACTGCAGCCTCCTACACAGCAACTTGGACAATGGATACAAACATAGGGAAAACTAATCAAGCCAAGCAAGGTGACTTTTCCACATACATAGATGGATTTCTTAAATCTTAAATGACTATTACATTCTATACGACACTTAACGTTTGGTATTTGTATATTAAATGCTTCACTGGGATGTCCTATGGAACAGACTACCATTCTTGGAGCTGAGGGACTCAAGGGGGAGCTGTGGTGGTGACACTATTTGCAGCCAGCAGACAATGGTAAACTCTTAGCACTCCCAGAGTTGCATCAAATTTTCCTTGGACTGAAACTGAAATGAAAGTTCAATTACTGAGAGGTAGATAATTAAAATAAACAACTAATTTCATACAGAGAAGTTGGGAGAGCGTCATATGGACCTCATTCTGTTGTCTCCGAGTACTTTATCTGAAGGGGAAAAGGAGCTGAGTAAACTTTAAACTCTCATGTAGGGATGTATCGCTTGTGTGTCCCTGGCAGATGTGGAAACGAGATGAAATGGGCAAGGGAGAATCAAATATCCCTTCGCTGCAGGTTTGCTGAGGGAAAGAGCGCTGCAAAGATCTCACATCTGGCAATCATTTGTCAATAGCTGGAAAGAGAACGGCAGGAAACTTTCTGGCTCTTGGAGAAGATGAAAAGACAAAAACCATGTCTGTCTCTGTCTCTCTCTGTCTCTCTCTGTCTCTGTCTCTCTCTCTCTCTGTCTCTCTGTCTCTCTCTCTCTCTCTCTCTCTCACACACACACACACACACAGACAGACACACACAGAAATGTACAAGAACTACCACACTTCTGCTATGCCACTGCCACCCCCACCACCAAATTTAATGATCTTCAGATATACTCTACTCCATGGTCAAAAACATGCAGTCACTTGACTTGTTAAAGCTGCAGTGTGTGTACATTTTTCAAATAAACCCCAGGGCTGATGTTAGAAAATCAAAATCAGTCAAGCATAGACCGCCTGGTACTTTGGGCAGGAATCCTTGTGGTTTAGTCAATAAACAGAATCTGAATGAAAGACACCACAGTAACTAGACAGTAACGTTTTGAACAGCTCTTAACCTGACGGGAGATGGGGGGGATGGTGCACTAGTGACCAAGGACATAAGGCTACCCGTCCACTTAGAGCTGAGTATCTGAAATGTGACAATGTGACTGCTTATTACAGTCAAGTGTCTGTTGCTTGAGAGAGGGAGAGGGAGAGGGAGGGAGAGGGAGGGAGAGGGAGAGAGACACAGAGAGAGAGAGACAGAGAGACACAGAGAGAGAGAGACAGAGAGAGAATAACTTATATGGGGATATTGTGTGTAAGTGAATCTGAGACAAACTTTTTAAAAATTAATTACACCCATCTAAATAAGGTGGTAAAGAAGCCTGTTTCCATTTTGTTCACACTGGTATACTACAGACAATTTGCAGGCTTTGTTGTGTGTTCTTGAAATGATCAGCTTTGTCCCTATAGGCTCCTTACACAATAAACTAAGTTTTCAAGATGCCCCATACCACATTAATTAAGTTCTCCAAAATCACAGGAATATAAATCTGCTGGTGGTGATAGATAGACTTTGGGGGTTGCTGCTGGTTCACCCTCATGCTGCATTTAACTAGCAGTAGCTGCTGCTGTGGGGTGCATCCTGTGACTCTGTAAGTGAATGCTGCAGGTTGTTTAATAACCTGGCAAATTCACAGTAGCTTGTCAAATTATTACAGGAACAGTGTCATCACTAAACAAGCCTGATCACGGTTAATTACAATGCAGACCAGAGAGCAGCCACAATTGTTCATTAATTACAGGAAGCACCTCATTTAAATTTTATGGAAATTTACACTTGCACCCCGGTATGTCTGGAAAAAAAAGAGATCCTTCACGAATTCACAGAAGAGAGGAGTCTGTGGTTTATGAAACATCACAGTAAATTGTGTCTAATCTGGTATTGAAATATTGGCTCATTATTTACTCTAATTTTCTAAGCACTTCAGTGGTGAAAATGACAAAGTCCAACCTCACATAGTGAACTCCCAACCAACAAAAAAATTAGCTAAGTTAACTGTAACAACTCAAGCCATAAGGAGATGCAGTAAGGCTAAGAAAGGTAACTTTTTTTATTAAACATATACAAAATATTTACCAGCAATTATGGAGGGTCTACCCTAGAAAGACCCCCTTCCTGGAAGGCAATTGTACAGGTATATAATCCTTTGCTGCTATTTACTAATTAAACTCCCAAGCTAAGCAGAAAATGCCCAGTTTTGCATCTACTTCAGAAGCCACTGAGGAAAAAGTCAACACATAAAGTGAACTAAAGTTGACTTCCTAGCTACTGGTCTATCAAACATATTAACCCCAAAACACAATAGATGCCTTTGCAAAAGTCAATCCAGGCACAAACTTGTAGGATAGTTACTGAAGACCAAAAATATGAGGATAGATATTGGAAATGTCAAGATTATTAAACCATGAAGCTACTAAGATAGATGAAAATATAAGAATAAAAGGCAAGGATTTAAAGAAAGAGTTAAGGGCAGAAAGAGGCTTCATGAGTCATGAGAATGTAAATCAACTAAAGTATAAGACTAAACCATATATGAGAGTGCATCCCTAAATGAAAATTCTTTGTAAGAAAGAATATACAAAGTATTGTTTCTGAACTGAGGTGTCCTAGAAGTTACTGTGAGAATGAGGCCAATCAAAAGCCCTCTAGACTTTCACAATGCCTGACACCAGAGAAAAGCCTAAGACACAGCAGGAAAAGCAGATGACTCAGGCTAGTCCTGCAATGAATTCCCTGAGGTGAAAGCACCTTACCTCACATAAGAAAGAGAAACTAAATGCCATGACAAGAATGGCAGCAATGAAGCTTCAAAATACTTCTGGAACAGTTAGTTGGTAAAGGACAGATTCAGTTTATTGTTTTTTTTGGTTGTGAGCCTAGCCTTTAACGGCCGAGCCATCTCTCCAGCCCCAGATTCACTTTATTGTAACTGACATAATATGGCCAAAATAGGTATTGCTAAAAGGTATGGAAGCCATACACAGGGGAGGGAAGAAAAAGAGAAGGAAATGGTTTAAGTACATCCTGACTAATTCACCAATTCACCCTAGCTGGCAATCTTTCAAGAGATTTAATTTTCCCCTTCAGTCTACTAAAATAGTGATAAAGAAGGAAGGAACTGGGAATGTGATCTCTTTCCTTACTTTGCAAAAGACTGATTTTCTTTGTAGAGACCATAGTGATTTGTCAACCATCTTGTTTACCTACAGCTGGACATGACATGTACTTCTTTCCTCCTTTATTATACCAACATAATATGCTAAATAAATGTAGTTACATTTTATGGTAGACTGGCATGGCAAATCCATTTTCTTCACGCTATAACTCAGGGTTCAGAACACATTATCCAACAATCACCCTCATAAGCCACTAATGGTAATCCTGGAAGAACATCCCCATGTCATGCCAAGGGTCAAGTACTTCCTACAAGAAGTTTTCTGTCACTCCGCATCTGTATGACACATATACTGCTAGTTTTCCTAAATTAGGAAATACATGATCATAACTCGTCTGTGTCACACCTGCTTTTATATTGTACCACATCCACATACCACCTAGACAGTACCAGCTTGGAACACAACAAAGCTCAGTTGGTCTTCTCTAGGCCAAGAGCAGGTGTGCAAGAGATGGTACACCCTCCCTTTAGTACTATAAAAACTTAAGCCTCCCTATCTCACCCTCATTCTCACTATGAGGAACTCAATTGTCAAAATTGTTCTCTTGTATTATCTGTTGCATCTAAATCAAATATACTTTAATATTGTATCAGCATACTTATTACATAAAGTCTGAAAAATCTAGCAAATGATGCCAAGTTGAGACTCAGAAAAAAAAATGCCATCCATGTTGAAATTTCAGCCTGTACTTTGTAATGGCAAACATAGCCCTCAAAATTCCAAAAGCACACAAAAGCAGAGGTGTTCTTCATCATCTTTATGTTTTTATTTTGTAACACGCCAAGTCAGGTCTAATGCCTCAAGACCACACAAAGTGTACTAAAATCCAAGCCAACATTTTCAGGAAAACTGTTCTCTGCACATATCCTCCAACATACTAAGACAGAAGACACTGACTTTTCTTATTAAGTACCCAGATAGAATCACTTGCCAAAAATCTTGCAGTAACCTGTATCAGTGTACACAGTCAGCCTCCAGGGATCAAGGATTGTTTTTCTACCCCAGAGGACATCTCATGGATGGACGGACAGATGGATGGACAGACGGATGGATGGATGGGTGGATAATAAATTTCTTCCAATTTGTGCTTAAAAGGACCTTTTGCTACATATATGCTACACCATATGCCTCTCTCAGGGTTGTCATCTCTTGATAGCAATGATAACAGTGGTAAGGCCTCCAGGGGTCATTGTTTCTGTCACACCACCCCCAGCTAATAAAACAGTAAGACTCCAACCTGGACTTCCAGCCTCTGGTCTGGCTCCTCCAGGTTTGGGCAAAAGTCTGCACCCAGCACTCTGCCAGCACATGCCAGTGGAACCTGAGGGAATATGGCCTGGTTAGATGCTGGGTATGGAGGCTGCAACACAGTCACATTCTACCCAGTCAGAAGCAGGGCTATCCCAACTACAGGTCTGGAAAAGGCCATGGTGACCTGACACATTTTGACATTTGCTATGACAAACATATTGGAAATATATGAAACTTAGTTTATAAACTATAAAAAGGTAATTATAAGAAGGAAAGATCTACATAAATTTTAATCCCTTGGCCTTGGTCCCATATTTACACCATGCAGCACAAAATCATCATAAATATCTATAGACAGCAAGAAGTTAAAAAGGAAAAAATGAGAAGGAAAAAGACTGAAACATAGACTCTTTACTGGGCATTGATAATACCTTATTTTGACTTATCCTTCAAATTTCCAGAGAAAACTGAGTGAATTGCATTCTACATTACCTAAAGTTCTTTTCTACTCTTAAAAGTTGTTTAATTTCCCCTTTGCAGGAATATATTAGCACAAGTATATTTTAACTTATAAATGTTTATATTTTGTTTTCATGCTTTCTTATTTTGCTTCTTGTTTGTTGGGGAAGGGATGTTTTGTTCATATCAGGAAGGACACTGAACCTAGCACTTGACAAACTCCCCAGAAGCCCCCAAAACTTACTGTCTTTAAGTACAAGAAACATGGCATAAAATCTGTTCCAACAGAGACCCTCTTTGTGCAGCAGGCAGCCCGTCAGTCTCATAAAATTTGTTCCAAAAAATAACAATAAGACAACATTGCATCTACAGTTCTACCCTGAAATCCATGAAGATTCTCCTTCAAAATTATGTTTTTATTAGAACCAGTCAGTATCATACCTAAATACTGCCTACTCCAACTTATTTCATCTTTGATTTTAAAATTCCCTACTTGAAACACTTTTCTCTGGGCCCTGGGGATCTAGTTCAAAGATAGAGAGGTTGAATGACAAAAGCAAGGCTCTGGATTCCATCCTCAGGATAGCAAACATAAAATTTTCTCTTGGCATTTGCCAGCACACGCTATCTGTGTTAACCACATACCTACCAATATCTACTTCAATACATCAACTATGGGACATGTGTCTTTGGCATGAGTACCTCAAAATTACAATTAAGGTGTTATCAATGTCCTTGATAAGAAGTCAGTTCTCCGGGAGGGGAACTATTGAAGCCATTCCCTCTTTCTCTCAACTTACAAGTCAGTTTGATTCTCAAGCGCTAAACAGTTTTTGCTAAGTCCCACCTGCCCTAAGGACTGTCTCCCATAACACAAACCAGTCAACTTTTCAAACATTTTTAGAACCAAGGCTCTTCTTTCTGTTTAAATCTCTTATTTGTCTTTCACGCTGAGGCCCAAATGGTAAAATGCCTAAATGCTATCTGTTGTCACAGTTAATGAATCTTGTTTGTTTAGTAGAAGGGTCTCATACAACTCAGGTTGGCCTCTACCTAGCTATCCGGCTGAAGGTTACCTTAAATCCCAAGTCTGCCTGCTTCTACAACCCAAGTGTGGGGTTCAGGCATGTGACAACATGTCCCATGTCTTTGTTTTATTTTTATTTATATAGATTTTTGCCTGAATGTATGTCTGTGTACCATATGCATGCCCAATACCAATGGAGGCCAAGAAAGGGTGTTGGATCCCTTGGAACTAGAGTTGCAAACAATTGTGAACAATAACATGAATGAGAGAAACCCAGGATCTCTGAAAAAGCAGCCAGTGCTCTTAACCACAAAGCCATCTCTGCAACCTAAAATAATCCCCTCTTTACAAAAGCATTTTACCAATCCCATGTGTGAGTCAGTGTGTAGGCACCTTGTATAAAAATTAAGACACTTTTTATCTTCAACAATTTCATATGAGTATTTCCATTTTATAAGCAAAAAAAATCAAGGCTTAGAGTAGACAATTGCCTCTGTGCTACCTGCTATTAAGTTGCAAAATTCAAACTTTAGAAATGAAAAAGGAAAAGAAATATTGAGGAAAAGATACCACGCAAGAAAAACTCCATTTAGTGTCATCAATTCTAAAGATATATGTTGAGTTTACACATTATGAAGACAATACAGGAAATTATTCACTCTTTGTGTTTTATTCTGAAACAATATAAGCATTTTTAAAAAGGAATTTATACTCCAAATTGTGGGAAGGGAGGGGGAACTGGCCATAGAGAGCAGAGGTATTAGGAATTTGTGTTGCGTCACAAGTGGAACTGATGCTGATTGTACCCTACAGTTGACATATGGAGGGGCACTAATGAGTTCTGCATCGGTAATTCTCTCAAGGGGACAATAAAAGGAAAAGGAAAAAAATCAATCTTGGAATATTCAATATCAAAATGAATCCTCTCCCATCCCACAAAAGATTCCTATAAAACTCTAACAAATGTGACTACTGAGCTAACTGAAATGGTTTCCATAAGCCAGAATGTATATATTGCAAATTGTGTGTAAACAATACCTTATTTCACATACACAAAGCAAATTGCTACTTATCTTAATATTATTTGACCATGTCACAAATAGTAAGCTTCTAGTTTCTTTTTATCCTCACACTCACAGAATGCGCTTTATAAACACTCTCAAGAGGAAAGGAGAAAGTTAAACAACTATAATTACATTCAATTACAATTTCAGACACTTAGAAATACAGTTCTTAGAGGAAACAAAGTATTTTAAGCTGGGAAGAAAAACTATAGCAAGCTACTAGTATGTTTCAACAGTCCTAGTCACAAAGAATAACTAGCCATGGGTAGCATTCTTAAACTTGGGAGTCCTAGCATTTCCAGCAGGAAAAAGAAAAACACAAGGATTCATGAAAGCAGCCTCCCATATTCTAGCGACAAGACAGCTGAGACTGAAATCCAACTGCCCAGTTCAAGAGGGTCAGACTCTAACAATGCCCAGCGCCCCACCAAAACTGCCACAGACAGCATCATCAGTTATCAGATGGAGAAATTCTTAAAGAAAAATAAGCAGCATCTGGGGCATAAAAGATGACAAATTAATTATCTGTAATTTGGTATAGATTCCTCCATCTTCTGATTTAAAAACCTCAAAAGTTAGCCAGCTCTCTATGAGCAACCAGTGAGTTCCATGAAGGGCGACACAATTGTCCACCTTATTCTTGTTCCACTGTGAATTGAGATACTCAAACACTGCGGGCCTGTCTAGTGTTTGCAATATAAATCTTAAAGTGACTTCTGCATTCTTCTTTATCCATGTTCCTCTGTCTTAGGAACCAGTATCTATTTCAATATCACACTCTTAAGATGAAGCTACAAGGGTTTTTCACAAAACATTCACAAGGACTAAGACTTCATGTAAGCTTTTGCCTGACAGGCATCATGAAAGTCACAACCCAAATAAACAAAGTAACTTCAACGTCAGCTCAAGTCTTCACAGTTAAGCTGACTGTAAGCCCAGATCAGTTCTGAATCTCTCTAAGTGTTTCTGTGATTTCGAGTACAGCAATGATGAAAGGGATGAGAAAACCAATCATAAGAATCTAGAAAAGAATGGGTACACAAAGGTGGATATGAAAAATAGAATGAAGGAAAGAGATAAAAAGAGATGCATTCCTTTAAGAGGACTCGGGGACATGCTGAGTGCAAAACCTGTTACATTACATGCCAGAGGAAAGCATTAATGGTACTTCAGGATGCCAAACAGCAAGAGGAAAGCCACCCATATAACACAAGTTCAGGAAAGCCATTAAGTGAAATAGCTCATATAACAGCTAGCCAGGATCTACTGTCAGAGAGGGAAAAAAAGTAAGATTTCCCAATACTGTGACGATGACAATGCATGCTGCCAAACACATGAATGCGAAAACAGTAAGGTGAGCTACAGAGGCTGGGTGTGCATCTAACTTACATCTTAATTTCTCAACTGACAATTTAACTAAAGACAACATTGTAGGACTAAAAACTACTGTATCACGGATCTCTAATCTAAGACTGCCAAGGGCTAAGAATACAGAATCTAAAATAGAAAAAAAATGAATATTCTGTTCCCTGATGAAAAAGCAATGCATATGTCATGGTGTTCTTACTTCTAATAAGAAACAGACAGAAACATGCCCATTCTTACAGAAGCCTTAGATGAGACAGGGATACTCCAAGAAGAATTGGATAAAGATGGGGGGGAAATGTTCCAGAGGAAGAACACAGGATGGGACATGTGACACACTCTGGAGTTATGTGATTCTACTACCACTCATCAGGTTGACAGGAGTTGATAAAAATGGCATGTGACCTGGAGGTGGAAAGAGTGTGCCCCCAGGAGAGGGAAATACTTAGGAGTCCATCTTCCCAGATCAGCCGCCCAGGAGGAGGGCTCCAAGCTCTGTGGCTGGAGCAACCTGTGCAGGTTCAATTACTGGAGATTTTCACAGGCACAAACAAGAACCTCTGTTTCTATGCTGTAAAATATGGGATGAAAGGTACAAGTCTCTCTTCCCTGGTGACACCCTGAGGAGTCTAATGGACCATGAATAAGCCTAAAATTACACCGAATCTTTCTTCTAGAGTGCTTAAAGGGTTTTGTACCTAATATTTATTAATTTCTACACCAGACAAATAGGCCTTCCATTGCATTATTTTCCCTTTAGAGAAAGCTGAGGCCTATCACTACAGTCCTCTTCCATGTTTGATAAAGGGACAGGTAGAATTAAGACAAGTTCTGTCTAGTAGCATTCATTTTCCACTAGACAAATCCTACCATGTGAAGTGTTCAATTTACACCTTCCAATACTCAGTTTATTTGGGTTTTAGCAGTAAAGAAAGTAAGGATGAAGTCATTTTAACCTGAGCTATTTATTGGTAGAGTTTTTAAAAATTTAGTTTTTAAAGGTACAGAATTGAAATGATATCAACTGGTTGTTTTCATTCTTGTATTCAGTATTTTAGAAACTAAACATCAGAGTTGTTGCTTAATGGTATATGCCAAGTTTGAGAGCCGATATTTAATGAAAACACAAATATGCTTATGTATGCCCAATATTTT